TGAGGTCAATCCCGGCACCCAAAAAAGGAAAGGCTGGTGGTAGGAGAAGACCAGAACCTAGAGTCGGTATGTGCCGTGACTCGGGGCCCCACGACTCCCTGGAGACGGCGTGTGCAGAACTCCCCGGAGGACTGGCTGACGTTGGGACTCTCGTCCCCTGGAGGCAGGGATCCAGAGCCCCTGGCTCTGAACCCATCCTCCTGCCCCCCACCTCCACTGGCCTTCACCCTCCGCACACCAGGGGCTCCAGGGAGAGGTGACGTCCCCTCCTTCCAACAGCTGCTCCATTGACCCTGGGGACCCGGCACAGACGTGATCCACCCTGAGCCTGTTGGTCTGGGCAGCAGTGTTTCGAGTGTGTCCCCAGAGCCCATGTCTCCCCCTGACACCGGCTGTCCTCCCCTGGCCCCACAGGTCGGCCATCACCATCTTCCCGCAGAGGACGGACGGCAAGCACGACTTCCGCGTGTGGAACTCGCAGCTCATCCGCTACGCCGGCTACAAACAGCCCGACGGCTCCACCCTGGGGGACCCGGCCAACGTGGAGTTCACGGAGGTGCGAGCGCGGCCTCCCCACCCGGGCCGGGGCCCCGAGCTTTCTCTCCTGGTTTGATGAGCAGCCGTTGGGACCCAGGGTGCCCTTCTTCAGGCTGGCCACTGCCCTCCGTCCCCGTCCTCCGGCTCTTTCACGGTTGGGCCTTGGGTCACCTTGGTGGCACGTCCTCACCCCAGCCCCCTGGTGGAAACTGTGGTCCCGTTTCACAGGTGGGCACAGCGAGCAGTGACCCAAGGGGGCCAAATAGGTCAGGGGAAGGCGGGGACCGCAGGGCACAGCTGTCCCACCAGGAGGAGAGACGCTGGCAGGGAAGCCCGTCGGGCACCTTGGCAGGGTCGGGTGGTGTCTCCGACTCACCACTCACGTTTCTGCCACTGTCAGACCTCGATTCTGACTCTGCTGGCCACCAGCCTGTAAAAGCCACCAGGAGAGCCACCACCACCCGTCCCCACCCAGGGTTCCTTCCAGGTGGCCCTGTGGGTGGGCACCCCTTGATTTACCACCCAGCCCTCCCCAGGTGAGCTCCTCTCCGCCCCCCTGGCCCCAGCCCCTGCCAGGCCCGAGGGTGGCTCAGCTGCTACCCCTGGGTGCTGGCTTCGCCTGCAGGTGGCCTTTCTTATTAAAATGTGATTGTCCTGAGAAGGGGGCTGTCTCCAGGGCAACCAGAGCTGCGCCTGTGTGCTCATGGCCCAGCCAGGCACCCCTTGGCTGAGCGGAAGGTGCACTTGGCCTTGACCTTGCCTCAAGTTGGCAGAACGGCCCCCTCCTCAGCTCAGCCTTCAACTGTCCCGGCCAGGAGCCAGCGCCGCCCCTCTCGGCCCCTCCCTCGCAACCCTCTAGCCCCACGCTGTCCAGAAGGGCAGCCACAAGCCGTGGTGCAAACCGAGATGTGCCTCTAGAGAAGGTGCCGCCAGATCTCCAAACACAGGGGGCTGGGTGCCTGGCGCACACCTGCCATCCCAGGGGCTCCGGAGGCTCAGGCAGGGGATCGTGAGTTCCAAGCCAGCCTCAGCCACTCAGCGAGGCCCTGGGCAACTTTTCAAGGACGTGTCTCTAAATAAAAAACAAAATGGGCTGGGGAGGTGGCTCAGGGGTTGAGTGTCCCTGAGCTCAATGTCCAGTACCACAAAAATAACAACAACGATGATAATAATAACAACAACAATGATAATAATAATCAGTGGAAAAGAGCTCACTGATGGCTCTAGTGTTGGTTGGGGACGTGGCTGAGTGGCAGATCTCTGCCTGGCAGAATCCCCAGCACCACAAACATCACAAACAGGTGGGAGCCCGACTATTTAAAGTTTCAATATTTTGTTCAAAATATATGCATTGATTCCAGATTGAAACGATAATGATGGAGGTACGGCAAGCTGCTGTGTTCATAAAAAACTAGTAACCTTACTGGATGGATTAATATATGCTTAATTTTAACATTCACGTTTCAACATGAATATTAATATTCTAGCGATTTAAATACCTTCACTTTAACCATTTATTTTTTTTCAAAGAGAGAGGGAGAGAGGAGAGAGAGAGAGA